GCTCAAAACCACAAAAAAAAAAAAAAAGAAAAAGAAAAAAGCCCGGCTTGGAGCCAGGCTCACAGCACCCAGTGAAACACGGGACAGGCGCCTGCAGAAAGTAGGGAGGAGTTTCGCTCCATACCCAACCCAGGCCCCTCTCTCGCCGCTCCAGAGAGGATGGATTGCGGGACACCAGGCAGCGCAGGCAGGTCTCTCAGTTTCTTGATTTAGGCCGCTCTGTCTGGCCGTTAGCTCCGATGATACCAGACGAGAGACCCCTGACCGGGGGTGGCACCCAGGGGGATGGAGGCTGGCAGAACTCTTCCAGGAAGCGTACACAAACCGGGGAGCACCGCCACCCACAGGGCCCCAGGTCGAGGACAATATCCTTAGAAACTGGAACGAAAACACCATTCTGGCATCAATGACCCTCCGCCCGGTTTCCTTAGCTGAGGTCATCTTTGGGCAGAGCATGAAAATGATCATTTGGGGAAAAATCTGGGTTCCCACTACCGGGTTAGAACTGTGGTTTTACCCTCTAGAGAGGGGGGCAGGCCAGGACGAAGTCCATGGAGAATCCTCTGACCGCAGGCCCTTGTTGGGGAATAGGGACGTGGGTTGTAAATAGCCGCTATTCTGGCGACCTGGAAGGTCTTGGGTTTCGGAGGCGCGGCAGGATAGGGCCACGTCCACGTACTCCTTCACCTCCCTTCCTCCAATGGCATGGTTCCACAGAAACCTTTTAAAATAAGAACATAGTTTTCTTTGATCCGGGGTGGACNGGAGCTGTTGGCAGCCGTCAGACAGGATGAGAGGTCAGTTGCAGGCTGTCCTTTACAGCAGATGGGGGGACCGGCAGGAGCGGGAGGTTTAAAGAACCAGAGTCAGGGCCCACGGGGAGGGGCAGGACGAAGAATGGGGCTGGTTATTTGATGGATGGAGCAGCGTTAGCAGGTAGGTGTAGCAGGGTAGAGAACCAAAGCGTCCGTCAAAAATGGCAATCGGGTGTAACAAATATGTCCAGATCAGAACACAAAAGCCACAGAATAGTTAGCAATCTATAGCAGTAGAAAGTGGTCAGAAACTCTTAGATTAACACAAAGAAAGACGAGATTTTCGGACAGAGAAGCGGCGAACAGTCAGCGCCAGCGTCCTCTCACGCCGAAGAAAAAGAGTGTATAAAAATATTTAAAAAATTAGATTTACCATCAGACTCATCAATTTGTGTATGTGGAAGAATAGGAAGACATGCAAATAATGATGATGATGCTGCTGCTGCCTAAAAATATCAAATATTTTTACTATGATATGGACGTGGATACAAATGGCTTGAATTTTGTATTTGATTTTAAATAAAGTCCACACTCTTTATTTTCCGGTTCAGATTGGTACTTACAGTAAGTCCCTACAGACTGAGCAACTGCCGTCCCAATTATCATCAGATATTTTATTAGTTTAACATTAGAATTGTTAGACATGCTTAAATTGAATAAAATATCAGTTTTTAGTGTGGACGTTGAGGTATTTTTCCCATTTGTCTAAAATGCAAGATGCATTTTTAGAATCAGTGGAAAACGATTTCAACTGTGCTGTGTTTAAAGAGGCTACGCTTTTTGTGGGTTTTCCCTTTCCTGTAGTGTGTTATATAGATTTCTTAAAAGGGCCCTTTTAATGTTGCAGTCCTATTTTCCTACCTACTTTGAATAGTACAGGCTGTTCCAGGTGTCCAATAGATGTCAATTTGATCTCTAAAGTTGGTAAATGGATGCATTGTAAGCATTCAATAATAACGGTTATATAAACTGTGATATATATATTTTAGAAAAGCAAGCTTCTACTCTAATCACAGTGAAGAAAACAAGTGTGCAACTGCCTCTCCGTACCCAACTCCCTCACATAACTTCTGCTCTCCTCCCTTTCTCAATCATCCCTGCACTTCAGCCCCACTTTGACACGCTGCCTCAGATCTCCACCTCCGCTCCTCTTCTTTAAAGCCTTCATCCTCGTGCTCTCCTCTCTGTCTCTGCTCAGACTTATCCCCGCTTCCGCCTCCCTCTTCGTCTCCCACCTCTCTGTCCATCTTCATCCCCGCACTCCCTCTCTCAACCTCTCACTAATAAGTGTCTCATCCTTAAAAGCTGCTTGTTACAGCAGGAAAAAGAGCTTCAGTGGAGAGTGAGCACAAGGCCAATCATCTCCTCTCTTTCTCTCTCTCCATGGTCCATCTCAGGTAAGAGTTCAAGTGCTGCTGAGGGCTGTTCGGATTAAATCTAATCCATATCTAACTTCACCCCAGAGACTGTTTGAAATTGTTAGATTCTTATTAAAAGTGCCTGAGCACACAGTCAAATGTCAGAGCCCCGAGTCTGCAAAACTTTAGCACCGCATTCTCTGTCCGTGTTAAAGGCCGGTGAGAGAAAGTCAGGTGAGAGATTAGATGGATAACTGAGGTAACCAATGGCACTCATTTCAGCAAGAGGATGTAAATGTCAGGTAGGTGATATGGAGATGAAAAAAGGAGTGGTATAAATAGGTGTGACGTGTAGAGTATGGTCAGAATTTCAGTTTAAAACATTCAAAACAATCAATATACAGAGTTTGAAGAAGTTAACAAAACAATTTTCAACAACATGTATGCATTATTTTCACAATGCAGAGACACATAGTGAAATAAGCATCATATTCTCTTAATTTGACTTTATATTATGTTGTAATTTCCTTTTTATTATATAATGTAAAACATATGCACTCCATGAATATAAAATATGTCATTTTCAGGTTCCTATTTGTATTTTGTGTCTCAACTGTGACATGTCAGACTGCTATTTATGTCCTTTGTGATGTAGTTAGTGATGATGGTACTAAAGTATGTAACAAGCGTATATTGAACACCTGCCTCTTTACAGTGCTGTATGCAATCACACAAAAATGACCAGCCATTATCGGTGCCTTTACAACTTCCAACATTCATGGAACTCATGGTGCTGTTAAGTCTGTATTCCATTCAAAGGAAGGACAAAGCCATAGTCAACGCCCCAGCTGGTGAAGTGCCTGTATAGTCATTTAAATTGAAGTGGTATTTTTAACGATACACAAATATTTCACCAATGAAAGTGGTATTAATCATTAAATTAACACCCCCACGCATGAGGATAATCCTCAGGATAATCCTCATGTGTGGGGGAATAACATTACAGAATAATACATTTCTAGAAGGAAACTTAAATGTATCCTTTTTGGAAATTTGAGAAATCATATCTAACATCTGAATTAATTTACTTAAATTATTAGTAATTACTTCCTGTGTGTAGCTGTCCAGCTTCTTTTTTTTGTTGCAGTTTTGAGGATATAAATCGGATGTTGCCATTGTGTTGCGTTATGCTTCAAAGATTCTGTATTACAGTTATTTTGTCCACCCCTTCACTTAAAGCAGCTTTGCCCATACTCACTTTTTAATTCATAGAAAGACTTCAGCGAACAGTTCCAAAAAACGTACATCTACTGAATGGATGATATATCTATACAATTGAAATAAAAATGATCATTTCAGATTCCTTTTCTGGATTTTCAGAGCAAAGCAGCAGGACAATGAAATAAGTTGCTACAACAGTCCCCATATATGAGCATTTGCACATGCCAGTGGTTATGAAGGAGAGTTTAAACACCAATAGGTGGCTAGTTCCAATTAATGGCAGGCGATTTAGTCCCAAGAAACCTAAGAATCTCAGGTCCTTGCCAAGTAAATGTAAAATCACTGGTACTGGACACAGTATAATGATCATTTTGTGCTATGATAGTGTACTTCAGAAGTCTCACTTTCTGCTACTTGAACCCTTAACATCTCTATTGGAAGAGCACTCCAGTTTTATGAACTTCTCCTAAGGAATGCAAGGCTGCTGTTGAGAATAAACACATCTCAGCAAAAACTCTCAGGGTATATCAAGGATAAAGATAGATTCTCTGTCTCCTCAAGTAAAAATCAAAGTCAAAATGCCACCAGACCACAAGGTAAAACATTTGCTTTCATAAAATAGTAGTGTTGTAGAATTTGACATTCATCCAAATCACAGAACTCTACTTTAAAAATGAGTGGTACCACCTTTTACAGAGCCAAAACATTTTAATGATACGCATTCCCCTGAATCAAGGGTCGTTATTTTGCTAATGCACTGACCTGAATATCCTCTTTGGGATAATTAAGTTTGATTTGACATGTTGTGCCTCAGGGCTGTAATCATACAGGATGCATTTCTAGCAGCAGGGGAGGGGGCTTTTGTAGTTGTTTTGAAGCACTTTGCATTCTGTGTTTGCGCTCCAGGTGCCTCTCATTGATCCACTTGTGTCCCCTAGCTGTTACTGAACAAAAAGACCTGCACTCCGAGCCGAAAATTGCTGTTCTTTCATGAGCTCCGAGCTGAAAATAACACTGCAAGACCAACTGTTTTTGGACCTAGAAGTAAAAGAGGCATTGAGAACTGTTGAATCCAACCCACTCTCTTCAGTCTGCGTACAAATGACACGACTTTACACATTGGAAAATGCTTGCAATAGATAAGCTAAAGTCAGATTTTGCGTGCCTATCATACGCCAACTATTCCCATTGAGTTCTGAGTCCGAGTTTTGCGTGCATATGAGACGCAAATGGATACGGTCGGGTCTGAGAAGACCGGAAGCTGTGTGGTCCATAAAAACATGTTATTACTCAATATCAAGCCACGATTATTGATTTTATTTGTAATCGTATAACGTCGGACTTTTTTTGCCGTCCGTGAGGAAACTAAATGGGGCTCAGAGCCTCAGAATACAGAAATCTGTATTGTTTTTAATCTTTTTTTCCTTCGAATTTGTTATCCTTTTCTAAATAACACACTGTTATTTACTCAACAATAACACACTATTATCCTTGTTTCTATTTATTCGTTTAATTCTATAATATTGGGCTTTTTAGCCGTCCGTCAGGAACTGATTTTCAAAATAAAGTCACCGGAAACATGTTGTAGCCGCAATGCATGTGGGATATGGTGTTTCCCACATACCATGTTTCGTTAAAGGTCCACTGGACGCAGCGCAGTCCAATTCGAGAAGGCGATTCTCCATTAGAAGAAGAAGAAGAAGAAGAAGAAGAAGAAGAAGAAGAAGAAGAAGAAGACATTGTACCCTCCTTGACACGAAGTTCCTCGAGGTAAACCCGTTTTCTGTAATGTAATAAAGACATTTACTTTACAATGTTTTTTAAATGATTTCAGCTTTTGCATCACTTTACACAGCACCATGTGTCGACATACAAGCTTACGCGTGCAAATTATTTGCTAGTTAAACCGTGAACTGCTCAGTTAGCATCATTGAGTTAGCCTAAGCTAACGTCTGTCGTTTTACGGAGCTGTTGCAGTTTAAAATCAATCGATAGTAACATAGGTGATCATGTTGTAAATATAATGGGGCTTCTTCAGTTTTTTGACAGTATTTTGAGTTTTAAAGCTTAAATTCACTCTTCGAGCCGATCCGAGATCTGCTCAGATATTTGTCCCGTTGATATTTAAACAGACATTACTAGCCGCTAGCCGATACATGATCCAGTATATTCTGTGCATTAACCAAAAAGTAAAAACGCATTAGCAGGTACAGGTTACCAAAAAACATGCATCTGAAGATGATATGTTATACATTAGGAATTCATAATAACTGAATTATTGTTAAAACCAGGGGTGGGGTTTCAAAGGAGATCTACATACTCTTGTTCCTCCATTGCTAATAGAATAACATCAATGCCCTATACCAAAACATTTTAATCATACCTTTCCCTCATAATGCTGATGTTGGTCTAAACTTTAATTCACTTAATATTAGGCTAGTTTAAATTACAGCTACATCTATGATCTAACTAACACCTTCTTTTTTTGTTTCAGCACAATGTCGAAAGAAACTGAAAAAACCAACAAACTAGAAGCTCTTCTTCTGCTTGGGGATGCATATGTTGAGGACACACAGGCAAGTTTCTTGTTTTTTTTATACCCAAAGTGTCATTATTTAAATCCAGTTAGTTAATGCGCATTTTTTCTCACTCTGTGTTTCATTACATTCCATGTCCATAAAGAAACTCAATAAGGAAACTCAACAAGGAGACGCAAAAAGAAGACGAACCACGCAGAAGACGCAAAAAGAAGACGAACCACGTCCAAAAGTGACCTGGTGGAAGAGAGACCAAGATGGGCAACGTGTGGCCAGCAGCAAACGAAGGAAAAAAAGTTCTTCTAATTGTTAGTCTACATTTTATGAAATTAATCAAAGTCAGTATATGTGATTTAAAGTAGCCACTGGTTTAATAATGCTGTTGATAATTCATATTTCTATATATTTGCACATCGATTTTGTCAGAGGACTAAGGACTAAAACCAATAAGCGGATGTAAATGACATGATTATGCAAAAATAAATACATTGAGCTTTGATATTTTCATGTTTGCTGAAGGTTGGTGTTTTTGTAACATTTCTTTAAATCTGTCAATTAGCTAAAATAATCTGTTTAATGGGTTTGAATAATTTCCCCCCCAAACAGATGGTACTCCTCCATGCAGTAGTTCCACCATAACAACACCATGTCTAAGCTACCAAGATCCTGGTAAGAAAAAAGCTACTTTTGAAGACTTTTTCTAGATAAGGTATGTTTCATATGAAATGTTTTCCTCATGGTATGTATTTATATTTCTGTATTTAAAGATTTTAATATGCAGAGAAGACCTTCTACGGGACTCTGAGACCGTTAAGGAGCATGGTGTTGGCGATGTGCCACCATTGTCATCTTGGACTCAAAGGCAAAAAGAGTTTCAACAGTGTTGGCAACAGGCGAGGCCACAGAACGTTGACAACTTATTAATAACTAAGAATATCGTCAAGATGACCTGCAATCACTGTCTCCTGGAAGAAGCTGTCATCCGTTGTGAGGAATGTATGCCATCAGAGTGGTTTTGTGCAGAGTGTGATATCTTGGTTCATACAAAACACACTCTGCACAGTAGGCAAACCACCTGTAATGGATTTTACAAGTATATTCCTCCAACAGAGTCTGTGAAACTCCGGGATGGCAAATACATCATTTCTAAACAAGGTTAGTGTCCCATTTTTTTTAATTGATCAGCCTTTTTTCCCCCTCACAAAAAAACTCATTTGAATCTCAAATTGCATTCTGTTATCATAGTGCTTGCTTACAACATTGTTAAATCTCATCCTGATTGTACTTTGACCTTGCAGACCGTTTGCTTCCAACATCCTTTCCTTCAAGGATATGTTCTTGTGAAGTTTTCGATGTTGCAGTCTCTGTTGGTAGACCTATCATATTGGTGTGACACCAATATGATAGGTCTACCAACAGAGACTGCAACATCGAAAACTTCACAAGAACATATCCTTGAAGGAAAGGATGTTGGAAGCAAACGGTCTGCAANAAATCCGAAAAACATTTAAAAAAAGAAAATAGTACTTTATTCCGAGTGTGCTTGCTTTGTTCTTTGAAAGTCATCACATAACGGCATTGTAATACACGGTTCGGCTGCATTACATATTACACATCTGCCGTAGTTCTTTATTTATAGAGCCCTGTAAGAATGTAAATACTGAGTTGAGAGAATAGTCAGGGGATTTGGGTGATGGGAGACACATCTATGGAATCACAATTTCAATAGCTTACCATTAAATGACGGATATACCTTTCTGTCTGTGATGTTTTACAAATCAGATATTAATGTGTAGAGAGTAAAACATGAGAAATAGTATAGCAATATCCTGTAAAATTATGTAAAAACATGAATAAAACTACACATCTTCAGATGTTATACATACATAAGTGTCCTACACTAATAATACAAAGTTATTATTAGTATGCTGTGTGTACCTTGTGTGCACCGTAGCCTAGTGGTTAAAGCACGTTATTGAATTATTTTTGTTGAATAATGTTATTTTTGTTGAATAATGTTATTTGATGACAAAAATATTAAAAGTACATACTTTCAGGGGAAAGTAGAAGGTCAATGATATAGAATATAAAAAATCAAGAAGATACTGTAAGTGATCTCTACAATAAAACAGTTTAGTGCTGGATGTACAAAGATATTAATAGGAGGATGTGCAAAACAGACAAACTAATTAACCTTTATTTAAAAATTAAATAATACTTTAGGTTAAGGTCTTCTTTCAAATAAGAAAAAAGCTTTGGGGGTATCTATCTACAGATAAATAGTAAGCCTGACAAAGTACTTAACGTCTAATATATTGCTTTCCTGCAATGTTAACTATGTTGAAGCACTTATTTTAACTGATATTATACACATTAATTATACTCTTATGTATGTAGATAGAATAAGAAATGTGCAGAATTTTACAGTTTAATAGTGGAGGTATACACACATATTGATAGATGTCTTGTAATGCACTGTTGAGGAACCTGTGACCCAAGTTTTTCATTCATTGCATACACCGTAGTTGTGTATATGATATGTCAATAAACCTTAGAAAATCTTGAAATCTTGAAAGGGATGTGCAAAATAGCCATTATATACAGTCTTTAATTAACTATTAGTAGAGAATAACGAGTAATTAATATACTTTATAGAGATCTGCAGATTTAGTCTTCTCAAGCACCAACTATCAAATATTTCCTGATTGTTGGCACTTGACAATCACCTTCCCTGAATTTTACTCAGGTGTAACTAAAGTCTGCTTTAAGGGTTGTTTATTTTTCACATCATTACTCAGAATTTGCAAAGTAACTAAAATAAATGTAGTGGAGTAAAAATACCAGGTTAACCTCTGAATTGTAGTGGAGTAGAATTACAAAGTAACAATGAGCTGTTATGTGGGTATATATTAACGCTGCGCATTATGGACACAAGCGATTTTCACCCATTTAGTAATTACATGTTTTAAATTTGTACACACCAATGTGTTTCCTATCGCCTAAACCTCCAGGGCTGTACACAGTTTAATACTGTCAACTTATAATTTTGGGAAAAAATAAAACGTCTTTTAAAACTAAATTCCCAGTAGAGACGTGCCATAGAGAACTTTTTACAAACATAGACTGTATATATAAAGGTTGCGAAACACAATAGCCAGCGCCGTATAGACTGAGAGTTACGTCATCTCCGTTCACTCCAATGGACCACTTTTTTACAGCAATGGCGGATCGTGGAGCCTCTCAATCGTTCCCCGGAAGTTAGCGCCAAGGCTAGCAGAGCTGTAGAGTTGCAGCATAATAGACCGTTCGTGACGGACTTTTAAAGGTAAGAAGAAGTTTAAAGATTTATATTGCGGATATTATCAGTACATCTGATTCAAATTAACATGTGTATTAAAGGATGTCAGTGGATTATCCCTAAATTAGTAGATTTAGGGAACGTTTACAGATAACAGATAAAGCTAGGATTCCGGATCAAGTTAGCAACACACGTTGAACAGCCTTTTAATTGTAAATTCCGTTCTCTTAATGTCATTTCGTCCAACGTTGTTGAATTAGAGAAGAGGGGCTTCTAAAAGGGATTGTATGCGGGGGTGGAGGGAGTTAAATATTAGATAAATATAACTCTGGTGCGTGTAAGAGTGAGTGTTTTTAGCAGAGCCATATTGTGTCCTTGTGATTATGTTGATTATTACCTGTCTGTATAATGTTGCAGCTCAGCTGATTTTGGATTGATGGCAAAGGGAGAGGGACTTAACACTAGAACCGCCAACGGGTACATTTTACCCGCAGCTGTTTTTTTATTGTATGTAACTTTTTTTCCATAACNAAAATCAGTAATATCTTTAAAAACTACAAGTCCTTTTCTATCAGCTGTGCACCGTTATGGTGTAAATATAACCTATCTACCAATTGGATCAAATATAAAAGTCAGCCGAATTACTATTGATACTGCAAGGAGACGTATTTTGTGAAAAGAAATGCAAGATGTTGTTTAATTGTTGATATATTTATGATCCACGTCACAGTTTTGGCGGCAGTTCTCCTGTTTGTCCAGAAGTCTTCTCATCAGGGCTCTATAAATAAAGAACTACGGCAGATGTGTAATATGTAATACAGCCGAACCGTGTATTACAATGCCGTTATGTGATGACTTCCAAAGAGAAAAGCAAGAACACTCGGAATAAAGTATTATTTTCTTTTTTTTTTTAAATGTTTTCGGATTTCATCATAAACACCATATCCCAACGTGCATTGCGGCTAAACAATCCAATCACCGAGCTTCTAGCTGAGGATCTTGGGTAATCGGTTCAGTGGGTTTGTGTTGTGTATCGCGATGATGATCAAAATGTCCCTTAAAGGTCTACGTCTGTTTCCGGTGACTTTATTTTGAAATTCAATTCCTGAGAAACGGCTAAAAAGCCTGAGATTATAGAATTAAACGAATAAATAAAAACAAGGATAATTGTGTGTTATTGTTGAGTAAATAACAGTGTGTTATTTAGAAAAGAATAACAAATTAGGAGGAAAAAAAGATACAGATTTCATTATTCTGAGGCTCCGTGCCCCATTTATTTTCCTCACAGACGACAAATACAATCAATAATCGTGGCTTGATATTGAGTAATAACACGTTTTATGGACCACACAGCTTCCGGTCTTCTCAGACCCGACCGTATCCATTTGTGTCTCATATGCACGCAAAACTCGGACTCAGAACTCAATGGGAATAGTTGGCGTATTATAGGCACGCAAAATCGGACTTTAGCGTATCTATTGCACGCATTTTCCAATGTGTAAAGTCGTGTCATTTGTACGCAGACCGAAGAGAGTGGGTTGGTTGAATCTCATGTAATCAAGGAAAATAGAGAAGCATTTGGCGGTGCATCTTCCATGCAGTTTCGGTAATGGAGAATATTGAGATACAATAAAGGGCAAACGGCTGAAATAGATGCTAAGTCTTCTTTATTTCTTTAGTTAGTTAATTACATTAGTTATTATTTTCAAGCAAAATGATTGACAGCAGCTCGACTGTGCCTTGTTGCCTGGCAACGATAAAAGGACACTTTGAGCACCTCTGCCTGCACAGGCTTTTCAAAATCAAGGCCTTACAAAACACACTTTCTATTGTGCCTGATTCAAAGACACTGAATAAAACTGCAGTGAATCAAAGCAAATGGAAGGTGTTGGTGGCATGAATGTGAGTCGTGAATATGAGAGTGAACCTTCGCTCCACATGCCTCCCATCTCACTTTAAATATGGAGTTTCTCTAATAAATATGCTGCTGGCTTCTCACACACTCACACACTGCGGGGCTTTACTCTGGAAATGTCAGCTCGCAGGATGGTCAATATCCGATAACCTTTATATGCTTGATCAGAATGTTGAACACTGAGTACCAGGTTAGGCAACGCTCCAAAATCTCCCCATATCAAACGCTCACCAAGCTGTAGATTTGAAAGGTGGATTCAACATGCTTGTAACTTAGGTAGGGCAGTGGCTGTACTTGTGGGTAACCCAGTTGTATGCTGATGATAAAGTTATAAATCAGAGAAAGTTCTCAGACAATCCTGAAAACAATCCTGAACATTTCATTATAGGATCCCCATTAGCAGTGATATTACAACCCAGTCTCACAAAAAATAGTGTTATAACTACGTTGGTCCACAACGTAGGACGTAGTATTTCAACAAAAACGCCTCTGAAATTATAGGATCCCTACGTTTTTTTTCACCATTCATTCCAATGGCTGGCATCTATGCCACGTGATCTTCAAATTTCTCCCTGCAGAAAAAAAAACATGGCCGAACTTCGTTTTATTCTCGAAGGAAAATGCCTATTTTAAAGTTAGTTTGGCCATTAAAATGCGTTTTGATGTCATTTGATGCGAGAAATATGAGTTGTTATTTCAGATTATGTGTGCAGTGGATGTACATGATCTTTAGTTTGCTAGTTATTACGAAGATTACTTCAGGAAATCGTGTCCATACAACGTTTTCATTGTTACCAAGGTGGTTGCTAGGGATGCTGCTATCGATATTATTTCTGTTATGTTGTGTAACCGTTTAATCACCATTAAACGGTTACACAACATAACAGAAAT